CAGTAGAGTGATCTAAAATGTATGAAAACACAATGCCCACGTGAATTGCATTTAGCAAATACAGCAGTTGCTGTAGTTCAGCATGCAGTTCAATCCCAATCCAAGTGTGATTCCTACTGCTGGCTTCTGTTGATACTCTCACCATCATGACACCAGGCATCATGAGTTGCTGGGAAGGATTCAACAGGTTGAATGCAATTCACATCATCCTCTGATCCCCTTTTGTCTTGAGATAATGGCAGCTTTCTCTGTGACAGCTGAACCAGCCACAACTCCACATCACCCATTCCCTGAGCTCTATGTACACATCTTTATTCCACTGTGGGGCTTCACTGCTCAACCACAATCACTTCTTAAAAAAAAGGAGAGAGGCTCTGCACTACACTCACGGCAGTCAAAAAAGTCTCATGGCAGGTATTTGGGAACCAGCAGCTATGCAAGTTTTTGATAGAATGAGCTGCAGAGAAATTAATGGCAATCTGTTAGTATTTTTCACAGTCTGGCTCTTTGTATCAAGTAAACCTTTGGCAAAACTACTGAAACCATTCATCACTCAAAGCTTCTCATGTCAGGCTGCCTATTGGCATGGGCAATTTCATTGCAAAATCTCAAATTATTTCCTGTCAAAGAAATTTCTCCCTTAAGTACGGCCAGGGGGTGCAAGACATCAGCTGCTTGTACCATACACCTTTTTAATTGCAAGAAATAATGTCTCATTGAATTTAATGAACCACAATGTCAGTGTAACTGTTTTATTGCAGAATAGATCACATTTATGTGCATGCATTTCAAATAACATTATGACTGAGATCCGAGAAAACTTTGTGCAGGCTATTTCCACATTTCCATTTAACATAAATGATTTAGACATTGATATAACCATTACAGTATGAAACCCTTTGATTTCAGGGGCTGTTTGGTTGATTGTCTGGTCGGTTGAGGTTTTTTAAGGCCAGACTCAATAGCGAGCTCAGACAAATCATAATAAAAAACAACTGCATTGGGTTTCATGCCAGTCTTACTGCATTATTAAAATAACGTCTGTTTATTTGCAGGCAAGGTGACTGTAAAAAGCACTGTCTGTTTCTAGCTGTATGTAATTAAGTCCATTACTTCCTGCAGGAAGTTACTGGAGCACAGGTTAGGAGCAGCCACTCAGGCCAGATCAAAATATTTGCAGAGAAGCATATTTTTCTTGGTTCTAAACTGAACCTACATGAACCTGGAGCATGAAGTCTGACAAACAAAAAGGATCTCGGGAGGTTGTCCAATGAATTCCCGCTCAAAGGCACTCATGCAAGTCCTGGAAGGCACTCATCTCACCAGTTCTCTAAGGCATTCGGTGGAGTATAACTGACTTCCCCAAGCAACTTGGCAGTGCTTCCTGCTCCTCACAACTGCAAAGCCATGCCTATGTGCATAACCTGAACCTTCCCCACCTTACTTGAGGACTGTTACATCCTGTACACCCTACACCCGAGCTTCTGCTGCAGATGTAGGAAACCCCAGCATTTCTCCATCTGACTGCAGCTGAGTTCAGCCTTCCCTTCAGAATGTGTTTGCTGAAGTTCTGAGCTCTCCCCTGTTGGACACACACCTTTCCCAAAGAGCAGTGCTCAGAAACAGGCAGCGTGCCGCTGACCTGTGAGCACAGCAGCATCACCGCAAATGGCTCATGGTCTCCTCCCTGTGCACCTTCCCTCTCAGAACCAGTAGAGCAACGCTGCTCCATGTGTTTATCTCAGCGGGACCACCAGCGCAAGGCATAAATGTGCAGTGTGGACACCTCAGATTCCCAGCCACGTCTTTTGTTTTAGTAAAGCTGCTACTCATAGAGGAGGATTCAAAAGCTTGAGTCTTGTGTCCCTCACCACAAAGATGGAAAACAATCTTGGTCTTTGCTAAATGTTTCAAGTTTCAGGAAAAATTCTGGAAGGGAGCAAGCCATTGCCGTACTAATTGCTAAAATTATTATCTACTATTAACTAGCTATTATCACGCTTTATTTTCAGAATTTCTTTTTTATTCTGGTTTTGGAATTGTTATTTGTCTGTCTCTCCAATTAGTTTTTTCTTTTTCTGTCCTTTTTGCTTGGTAGATGTTCAAGTTCTTTCCTTGTCCTGCCTGCCTCGCTAACGCTCTTTCTCCACTAACCTTCTTGCCTTTCCCTTGTCTCAGCCCTCCTGCTGCTGTTTGTGGAGAATATCGAAAGCGACAACAGCATCAGAAGAGCGTTTCATCTCCAACACGACAGCCCTGTGCTGTCAACAGAAACAAAATTGTGAAAGCATTAGTGCCGAGTTGCATTCTCTTCACGCAGCCTCTGGGTAGGTTTAACGGCTGATTTATGTAAAATTAAAGTGACAATTTAAAAGCCCCTTTGCAGGTTTCAGGCGTAAGCGAGTCATCCCTCCAGAGCAGTGTGCTGTGATAGCCCTGCACACCCAGTTCCACACATGGGCAGCTAAGAGCGTGCGTGGCAGGTTGAGTAAGGGCAGGAAGACAGAGCTGGGGGATTATGGCCATTTAATCATAACTATCTCTATCAGCTTCACTCAGCCATTTTCACCCATGCAAAGAGCACCAACCCCCAGACTGAGACCAAAACATGATCCACAACTTCAGAAAAAGCTTGGAAACTTAGTCACAGCCATGTAACACAGACAGCTCTGCCATCCAGTGTCCAGTGCAAAGCATGACCAGAAGCTGCCATTTTCACATCTAAATGCAGAAAAAGGCAGGAAAAAGGAAGTGTTTCTGCCTGCTCTTGCTTGCTCCTTTGGCTTTTTGGGTGCACACCAGCAGAGAAGGGCATCTCTTGAGAAAGCCCCATGGTCTCAGCTGCACTCCCACAAAATCAAAGAGTTCCTGGGGGGGTTTACTTACATTGCAGCGATTTGTCTGATGTTTCCAAATCTCTCAAGGTTTCCAGGCAGAAATACTCCTCCTGTGAAGCATTAGGAGCACTTCCTTTGAAGAAAACCCAAATTGCAGTTAAGTAAACTCCCTAGCTCCTACCCTTTCTATGATTTAAGGGCATATTTCTGTACACATTAATGAAGATGCTTTTGCAACAAAAATAATCGTGAGCTATTTCATGTGAATATGCATTTTTATCCTAAATGCCTGCGGGTCAATTGAAACTTGAAGGCCATTTCCAAAGTGAAATTACCAGTTTAAAACTGCAGCTTCTAATCAGCTGTTTCCCCACTGCCTGATGCAGACCACGAAGGTCTGTTTGCCAGCCCACGAGTTCCCTGGGCAGTCACAACAGCACACCAGGCATCATAGCCTTCAGCCAATTTCCCTCTGCCACCACATTCAAAGCACAGCGTTTGGAGGTGTGGAATAGGACCTGCTTCCCACAATCCATGCGGGTTTTATACATGTTAAACAAGCCATGTTTTGTGTTTAAACTCCTGTGCCAGCCCACGCCCTGAAACTCAGCTCTGAGCTGCAGAGCATGGAGCTGGCAAGCCTAAGGCTGGGCAGGACTGTGGGGGAGCTGGTCCTTGCTTGCTGGTCCAGTCCTTGCTCTGTCAGCCCCAGGGCTGATGTGGGGCCTTGGGCTGATGGGGGAAGTCAGGCAGGGCCTGTAACCATGGCCTCCAAAGCCTGACGCAGTTCTACAGACAAGACATGGCACATCATCATTTCATTTGTACTGTACTTTCTCCACCTACCAAACTCACGAATTTCGCATAGCAAAAAAACTACTTTTGCCCACACAGACCAAGGGTCAAAGGGAGACTGGCAGATGCTGCATTCAGCACTGACATTCATTAGGTGCTTGCCAGGGAAACTGTCACTCATATTGATGCACCATCCAAGCACTGGAATGCTCTCCATAAGCTTCACAATCACTGACATCTCACTCTTCGCAATCATTTGTCATTCCTTGCATCCTTCTTACTTCTGTTGTTGCCCCCACCTTACAGTCAGTTGCTAGCAATCTGTGTGCAGGACCACATCTGACGTAGTGGGTGACTCCACCTGGTTTCTTCCCAATATTGGTGTTCAGGTTTAAACCTGAGCTTGATGGCGCTTGTGAGAGCTGCAAATAGGAGCAAGGAGCAGGGCTACTTTCACCCTACTGTCACTTGGATTTCTCATACGAGGAGAAAGCAGCAAGTTGCATTAGCACTTGTCCCTGACCAGCTATTATTGGAGTGCAGATCCTGACAAAGAAAACAATCCTGTTTGCTATCTTGCACCTGGAAGTCCCATCTGGTTTGAACATCTTGCATTAACTGCACCTGTATTAGCAGAAACTTCAATTATTCTGTCAAAATTGCTTTTTAAGTATGAGAAATGTGTCAGGCATGGTGTTCCAGACGACTGCATTTGCACAGATGGATCCCTTTTAACTGTTTTAAAATATTCTTTAATGATGGAAAAAAGAAACCGCATAAAGCAACTTAAAGAGTACGGCTTCCTCCAGGTTAAATTTACCCAGCTGGATCAAATACGGAAAGCCAGACCTCAATCAGCAACAGTTAAAAACATCCATCATTTCCAGAATAATAACGGGAGAGGAATTAAATGTTCGAGATGAAAAAGCATTTACTCTAGGTCTAATGAAACACAATAGATGAAAGTGTGACCTTTAGACAGCCACAGCGTGAAAAAGACAGTAATACTGGCACTTCCACAAATTCTACCAAAAAGATCCAGAACAGCACTTGGATGAGCTACTGCAGACAATGTTGCCATCTGAAATAGGCTGAAAACTACTTCAGATCCAAGATCTTTTGAAATTATTCTACCATCAGCTTCACAGAGAACAAAATTTGCTTGAAAACAATCAGGAGAGCTGCAGCTGCACTGGTGGTATCATTTGCAGTAGTTTGGGCTGCAGCAGAACTTAAGAGAATTTCTACAACACTGAGTGCATGAGCACTGTGCTGAGCACCTCACTCAGCCACACAGCCCTTCCAACACGATTCTTTACTTCGCCAAATGCTAAACAACCAGTTGTAACATCAAAGAAAAAGCCTCTCTGAGGAAGGCAAGAATGTGACATCTTTAATATGCATCCACTGTACACATTTAGGTATTACATATATAAAAAGGCAAGGGTTTTTTTACAGAAATTTATTGTGCAAAGAATGATTTTCACGCTCATTTACAATGAAATAATTATTTTTAACAAATAACCATGCCATTGCTTAATTTCAACACTAAGCAGACTATTTACATTCAAGTTTACACCTTTGTTCAAGTTCCATGTATTGTCAGATTTAGGTAAGAATGCATCTTCAGATCAAAGCTTTGCATCTTTTTACATTGAAGTATCACAGAGTTTCAGACTCTTACTGGAAATGACAGTTTTCCTTTCTTTTTAGTACCCTCATTTTCCCAGATACTGTACCGGAAAAGAAAAGCAGTGTGCAGAAGTGAGCATCACAAACGTACAACAGCATACAATCAGCCTGCTGTTTCCTACCCCCGACAGAAAGGGGGCTGCAAGGTACCTCTCTGCTCTTTAAGAGGATGGTTTACAATTCTATTTATTTATTTTGCAAAGATGACATTCCTTAAGGAAATCAGCTTTATGACATTTTTTTTTTCCCATGAATTCTTATATAAAAAAATATTTGTTTTGCCAATAATGAAATCAGAACACAGCATCATCACGTTCTGACAGCTTTCTAAAAACAGAACAAAAAAACACCCCAAACATTTCATTTCATCTAATCATAATTTTAACAAAACAAAACAACATAACAGTTTCTCAAAGAGTTGAAAAATATTTTTCTGTGCGCAGAGATCCAAATGGAATTTTGGTGCTGCCCCTTCCTTTCCATGCTGCATGACCAGAGCCCAGTTCAGGCTCACAGCCTGTGCTCCCTCCCCTTGCTGCCCCAGCACAGCACAGGCTGCTCACATAACCTCAGCCGCAGCCCACGTGCTCACACCCACTCCTTTCTGAAGTGAGCTGAGAAGCACCTGATAGAGGAAGGGAACTCGGAGATGGTTCTGAATTTTAATGTATTGCAGGTTTGTTAACAGCTGAAAATGCAGTGGGATTTTAGTTCACTTTTCTGGGATGTCTCCTTTCTTATCACACTTCTTATCACCGCTTCTGCTTGTCTACATCTCCAAGGAGCCAGCAATATTTCCCAAAGAATCGGAGCATTCCTACCAATACGTGGTCCTGACAATTGCATGGAGTCGGAGGACAGAATACTGTGATTGTCTTACACTTTGGCTAATGATGTTCAAGGAAGATACTGATTTTGAAGACGCAATCCTAACATTCCCACATTTTAAACAAACTATCTGGAAGACTATTTCACTCGTTCTGCCTTCACGTTGTGACATCTCCTCCAGTACTTGTGGGCTGGGAAGCAACTGGAGCAGGCTGCACCGGTAACACCTCCAGCTCTGATTCGCGTACAAAAATGACTGCATCTCCACTTACATTTATTAAGCACTGGGCCTGTAGGAAGACAAACAAAGAGAACATACAGTTACCAAACATACAAGTAAACACAAAGTATGTGATTGTTTAAGCTGCTAAGTAGAATTACACAGATCTGTTGGCACAGATCAGAGAGGGATAAATTCCTTTTCATATCCTCCCACTTTTACACTGTGTAGACATACTCTCATGAGATCAGCAACATACAATAACCTGGGTGCTGTTCTTTGTTTTCACTGATGTTTTGAATTTACCTCATGTACCAAAACAACCACATTCAATTGTCTTCTGACAAAATTTTGTCACTTTATGATTAAAATGAACCAAAATCTCTATATGAACAGTATTAAAACACTAATGCTACTAAATCAGAAAAGCCAAGCATTCAGCACTGCTGTGTTCTACTGCTTCCCACAGCGTACTTCATTCTAGTGACCTTAGTTTCTTTTTATCCATTTGGGAATTTAACAATATAATATTTGCAACTTCACGTTAGCTTGGGTGCACAGAGTGCTCTTGGCTTCTTTAAAGAAACGAGAGATCCAGAAGTGCCACACACGTGGCTCTAACAGAGAATTTCTAAGAAGTTTTTATATTCATGTCATACTAATACAGGCACTGTGATTCGTACCATAACTCACCTGGTTTTTGTTTGGATTCTCCATGAACACACACTGCTTCATGATGTATGAGACAACCGCATTGCCCCCTAACGCTGCAACGTGTGCTCTCACCATTGCAAATACTTCAGCAATAAAAGCGTGGAGAAAGCCACTGACACCACCCTCCTAAAATGGGGAGAAAAAAAAAAGGTATTTTATGTCAGTTATAGTTATCACAACAGGATACTTCCCTTACATTTTATCTACCAAATACATCAGCACATTTGAAATTGTATTGTGTACAGAACATAAAACCCATTCATCATTTCATGTGTTACAGTCAAACCTCAGATCAATGAAACTCTCTGCTTGAGAAAAGGAACCACAACTGGGTATCACACACAGCGGTTCTTTTCAGACATTCCTACACCTCTGCACAAACAGCTACACTCAACTGACATCCGAGAAATGATTTTTTCTTTCATCACAAAGAATGTTGCCCTTTTTTCCTGAAAACTGGGAAGTAAATACAGAGTAATTTACACTGAACACTAAGAGTCATGGAGAATCATTAAGAGTACGGAGTGGCTACTGTCGCTCCACGTATGCTAATGACTGTCTTGAGTTCCCAACATTCACTAAGAACAGAGCCCTCAAAATACAAAGTGAGCAAGGACAGATCAGAGAGCTGAGATGCTGGTCAAGCTGTTTGGTTTCTTACTGGTGGGTGGATTTAGTTGTTCTTTCAGGAGTACACAGAGGGCTGTTTTTTCCCAGTGAAGACCAAAAGAACTTCTGGCCATTGTGTTTAGTTACTGCTTTGACTTGGTGGCACTCATGGGTGCCTTTTGTTTGCATGGTGCTGAGCCCAGTAATTTGAATTAGTACAATAGAGGAAGAAGGAACACAATAAAGTATCTTTTTTTCTTAGTCAATCCTTGCGAAAGCATATGAGTAGCAACTAGAATAGGGGGGAACAAACAGAAAAATATGCAAAGAAAGAAAGAAAACCAAAAAAAGATGTGGAAAGAAACTGACAAAACAGAGCTCACTACTGGTTCAAAGCATCTACAAAATTTCATGAGAAGTGGAAGGCAAGACTGCTTGACTTCCCACTTGTGCATGCCACTCTAGGATATGAAACTGGAAAGTAGAAGTGAGAAACTAAGCTGGACTTCAACAACCACGGCGTGCCCTAACATCTACTGGAAAATGTCTTTGAGTGTCTTTGGGGTAGATGATACATTAGGAACCAGAAAGAACACGTGAATCTGTGCGTAAAGCATGAATGAATTCACCTGCAGCCAGAAATCACATTTTCAATGAGTTTATCATTCCTTGTGAAATTCAGTTTGTCCACCTGTTTTAACAGTTACAGCACCAGTGGAAAAAAAGGTGAATAAACTGAACTTAAAATTATCTATGTATGAAGTACAGTGTCTTGCATACAGTTGAACTTATTAAAGAGTTCATATGGCTTCAATACTCTGTAAAATAACCAAAGTAGAAAGCAATTTTGCCAACTATTTTTATACAGAATATAAAACACAACTCTGCAACCACTATTAAACCTGGTTTGTGACTCAGCCTACATAGCTGAAATAGGTGTTAATCAGCTTCCCTTGGTGATGCCAGCAGCACACTGTCAACACCACAAAAACTGCACAACTTCATGGAGGAAGTGAATCAAACACCCGAGCAACTTCCTCTGCTTAGATCCATTACAGTAATCAGCAAAGTCTGCATATCAGCTATTTAATTTATAACTACAGAAGGCACAGTTAGAGCAAAAGCACCGTGCAACCAATGCCCTGGGTGTACCTTATTTCATCCTTTTCAAAACATTGTCCTTTTCATATAGACTTCTCAAGTTAAAAGGAACCATTAATTGCAAGAGATTTGTCTGTTCAAAGCATTTTCATAGAGCTGGCAGCAAGTTTTTATTTATCAATGCCTAATTAGCAGTAAACAGCATAGTTTCAGTATGGGCAAACCAGATGAGGAACGGTTTATTTCTGTGTCTACAAATTTGGCAGAAGGAGGTGGCTTTTTCCCAAAGGTACACAATGGTGAGAAGGAACACATCTTAGACATTTATGGCACGGATCTATGTTACTGAGCATGCAGAGAATACAACATTAAAAAAGTCTGTATAATGGTTATATGTAATACGGGAAAACATTAACAACCAACGAGTTGTAACATCTGAGTAGAATGTGAAAGTTCATTGCTGAGCTTGCTAAATGAGTGAATAAAATGGGCATTGTTTCATTTGGCTGGCTTATAGCAATTAAATGATTCTCAGTTTGGGGTTCAAAACTCAGTTTGGGATCCCAACTTCCAATGTTAGTCAACGATTCATTTTTTCATATGGTTCTGTTTAAGAACCTATAGTTGAACAGTATACTCAAATTAGCTGTCAGCAATGGCCAGAGGATAAGTAACGTTTTCTTAACAGTGCCAGATGCAAAGAAACTCTATTTTGACAAGAGCAGCACAATGCAACTTGATCCCCACTGAGCTTCTTGCCTCAAGCGACAAAATCTCAATCCACTGTGCCACTGCTCACTCAAACCTCAGCAGATACCACATATACTTGGCTTTGATTATTATTATTATTTTAAAAACTACAAATCCCTGATGCACAGCTCACCTCACGCAAAGAAGTAGTTTCTCGTATAAAAAACATGTTGATTATCCCAAGGTATTTGGTTATTTTTGCCCGAGGAATAAAAGAAAGAGGTGTCATCTTAACAACAGAGACGGTAGAATTGGCACATGATGGAACAGAACGGTGTCGTAAGTATCCTTCAGCCAATGGACTTGCTTTATCAACTGAAGCAGCTAAACAGATGGAAAAGAAAGAAGAGAAAGTAACTATCAAAGTAAGATTCCCGTTTCCTAAAACACAACAATTCTTCTTTATGGTTTCCAAATAGCTTGGTGACAACATTCAGCTGCCTGTGATGCTCAGCCATACCATGTGAGAAAGGAAATTATCATGCAACGCATGCAAAAGGAGACAAAAAGCTGAAATGGAATTTATTTGGAAGAGTGGCATTCCTGCAAAAGAAAACACTGAGGCGAGTAGCTGCACATACAACAATCAGTTATAAAGTGAAGATAAAGAAAAAAGTGCCAACATTTTGAAATACAAATTCTGCCGGAGAAACAAATTATTACAGGAAGTGTGAAAGTTGTTGTGTTTCCCCAGTGCAGCATTTTCCATTAACACAGATATTAATCTCTACTTATTTAAGCAAGATAGTCAGACCTGTGGCCAAAGAACTACTGAAAAAGAACTCACCACTTGCTAATTTAGTGACCATTGCCTTGACTGTCACCTTGGTGATTGCTTCCTGTTTCTCACCAAAAATTTTCCAAGATCATACATACACCTACATCCATGCAGTGTATGTTATATAATTAGTAGGCGTACACATTTATCCATAACTAATATCATAACTAAGTGAACAGAAATACTGTATTTTGCTCTTTACGACACCAGCTCATACACCCCCTATTAGCTTACACAGTCATTAACAAGTCGGCATTTTTCACTATTCATTCTACGTGTGATCTGCAATACTACTGCTGGGCAAGAAACTCCACTATTCACCACTGGGAAATCAGAGATATGTCTCAGATTATCATAACGTGGTAGAAACAGCCGCCTACTTGTCTTAATTGATCCGCGCCTTATGGTCTGAGCTTTCAGTTTAATGAGCTCTATCCAGCTGTTGCATCTGTCTGCAAAGGAACTGTAATCAACTGACGTTGCTGAAAACACAGACAGAAAAAAAACAAAAGAAAAACAAAGAAAAAAATATGGATGATGTCTCTCCCTCATCTCAATGCTCCTTCTGAGGAAGCAATTATCTGTGTCTGAGAGAGATCGAACACCCCTTTCCAGGTCTGTTTAAAGGAAAAGTTACAGTATAAATCTGCACTTGTCCAAGCCAGTGTACCCATTTCTGGTGATGTCACAGTTGTGAACCAACTGCCTGACCGGGACTTCAGCACTGGAAAAACATGCAAATACAGTCATTAACTCTTTATGTTAGATTATTCATTAATTTTTGATTTAATCTCACAGTAGGTTTTGAATTTTGGGTTTTGTCTACCTAGGCCTTGTTTAATTTTCGTTGTTATTCCTTTCCTCCTGAGGAGCTGCAGATGACGATTTAAGTTTCCTAACTACCTTTATCAGTAATTAACCTACAGACTGAAAAGAAGTATTGGTGGTGAGGACCAGAGTCAGAAGCTGAAACAGCATCTATGTTTAAAACATAAATGAGCTTTCTGTAACAAAGTGCCGTCCTCCATCTCCATCCCCACTATCATTACAGTGGAAACCAGACTTATTTCTGCTGTGAGTTTTTGCTATTGCTTGTGGGAGTGTTTGCACATCTTAAAAAAAACAAAAAAAAGTTTTGCAAACACCGTTTCTTCATGATCCCAAAGAAACGGAAGGAACACATGCTAATTCAAATTAAGGTATTAAAAGCAAAAAAAAGCTCTCTCAAGGAACTCATTCTCTGGCAGATAAAGTGATCTTAATTTATCTCACAGAAAAACACTTGCTATTAATGCATAGGCTTTGGTAATTAAAAAAAAAAAAACATCCAAATTTTCTGATATCATTAAGCCACACCAGAGCATGCATTCTCAGTTAACTAGTAAACACTTCCTGGATTAAGACACATCCAAAAAGAGTATACCAATGGCCTAAGAATGCTCATTCTGTTCTGGCACACAGCTAAATGAAGTAAACTCACCTCTCTGAGCAGCAGGAATACCTGAGTGGGAACTTGCACCCTCCGGGACTTCTAACAAAACAGAATAAATTTCACTCAGATAATTTATGGGCACTATTAACTGTGCGTCATGTAGGATGTGACAACTTCTTTCTCATAAAAGTTTTACAGTAAAATATCAGAAAAATCCCCTACATATAATATCCTGTGTCACGTACCTTGGTAACAGATTATACATTGGTACAAATCTTTATTAAACTTGTCTTGCAAGTTAAAAGATGCTTTGTTAATAAACAGTTCTGACAAACAAATAGCTATCACCTAGCCATTCATATTTAGCTTAATGTAAACAAGCAAACAAACTAGCTAAGACTCCATGTTCCAGAAATCAAATAAACTTTGAAGTTTGTTTGAAACAAAAGAATCGCCAACCTTTTTTTTTTTCCACCTCCCACCTATTATCAAAGCAAAAGATTTTCAGTAAACGGGGAAAAACTGAGATTAGTTATGATTTTTCTTTGAACACAAAGCATAAAATAAATTCATCAAATAACGTCATAAATCATTTCCGGCTGGATATTAGGAAAAATATCTTCTGAGAAACAGCAATGATGCACTGGAACAGGCTGCCCGGGGTGGGGTGAAGTCACCATCCCTGAAGGTGTTCAAGAAACATGGAGATGCGGCACTGAGGGATGTTGTTGGCGGGCATGGTGGGGATGAGCTGACAGCTGTACTGGATGAGTTCAGAGGTCTTCCCCAACTTTAGTGATACTATGACAATTCTAATTGCCCTTTTTTTCCTGTGAGAAGAATCTTTTATCCACTTCACATTTATCTTGGCACGCTTAGCAATTCCTTTGCCAAACACACAGGTAAATACACCCATCACTTCAGCACACTGACTGTTATCACCTCTCAGGGCAGACAGGCACGGTTCTTACAATTACTGGCCCAATGAAGATCACTCCTTTTGCTCTGACTGATGAATTTAAAGTCTATCACTACTGCCTGTCAGTACAGAAACTGGGTCTCATCCTGACTTCTGGATAATATGTTTTTAAAAACAAGGTGATCTGTATTTTAAATAGGCTACCAAACAAATCTGCATTGAAACCTCAGTCTCTATTTGTGAAGAAATAACAGTTGAAATAGTTATCTATCTGAAAACCCCGAAGGTGAGCTATGGTACAACATGGAATGTGAAGACCACCGGAAAAAGTAATCTCCATGAACAGGCTACCCTCTACTGGTCACTACCCATTCTACAACCTGCACAGTGATGTGACAAGAAATAGACATTAGAGGCTCACTCACATTGCAGACAGATGAGAGGGACATTGTTAGTCACAATGCTAACAAAATTACTGGAAGCTAAAAAACACCTTCCTCTCCATGCTGGTCACCCTCTGTTGATGTAATGCACTATTCAGTTGGCCTTCTGGACTGCAAATGCACACTGCTGGCTCATATCCAGCTTTTCATCCACAGGAACAATAAAGCCCTTTTCAGGGCTGCACATTAAGAGTTCTTCTCCCAGTCTGTACTCATGTCTGGGATTTTCCCAGTCCAGGTGCAAAACCTCGCACTTGGCCTTATCAAACTTCATGTTATTTGCACAAGCTCAACTCTCAAGCCTGCCTACATCTCTCTGAATGGCACCCCTGCCTTTCAGCACGTCGACCGCACCACACAACTCCGTATCACACACAAACCAGCTGAGCATGCACTCAATCCCACTTACTAACAGAGGTGTTAACCAACAACATACAAGGAAGTCAAGGTAGATGATTTCAATGAAAGCTGTTTGACATTTACTGTACAAGTTAAGAGCGCTTACACCTACAAAAAAGAATTCATGCAATTTAGCTCAGCTGAAAAGTCAGCATTTGCTGTCTGAAGTATTTCTCACCGCACAAAAAAAAATCTATGAGATAGTGACTATGTCGTTATTTTATATGGCCCATCTGTGGAAGCAAGGTCATATGAGACAAGTCTAATGATAAAGTAATTTATAACACTTCTAAGTGAAATCACACCCAACACACAGTGGTTTTATATTTTCCATGAACTAAATATAATGGAAGAGAAAAGAATACAGGAAATCTACCAAAGAAAAATGCAGACCTTATATGACTCAAAAAATTGACTGCAGGAGTATTTATTATACATAGGCATAACAATATTTAAAATGAAAATACAGATGTTTAAAGGCTACTACAACAGTGAAAAAGTCACATTTGAAATCAGTAAAAAGGAAAGAGTTCATTTTTCTTCCATATAACCAACCTTTAGCTGCTGAGAATGGTTGAGAAGCAAGGGGATCAGAGCTAAGTTCCAATGGAAATTGTAGCTGTTCTTCATTGTCTGTTGACGCTTCAAGGAAAACATATCAAATTAATAACTACTCTGAAAACATGATTTGCCAGTAGTAGTAAGCACTATAGATTCAGTTTAGCCAGGCCGTAATAGAATATATTATTCCAACACATGCATATAGTAGTGCTGTTCTTTTTGACCAGTCAGGTGACTTACAGTAAAGCCAGCTGTAAAACTCAACAGAGCCTGTGTTCTCTTATCAGAATTCAATACTTTCAGGAAAAGAAAGTTAAGTCAATTTATGCATCTTCTAATTTTGATTTTACAGTGGAATCCAAGCCAGCTTAGTTAAAAAAAAAAAAAAAAAGCAACATTTGATTTATTTAATGTAAGAGAAAATGTTCTGTTACTACTTAAGAAGGTGAGATCCAACTAGTATTTTTGAAAAATACGACACTGTGTTCTGCCACTAAATTCCCTTTATCAGAATGGAATACCTTCAAAATTCCATCTGTTTAAATTCTCACATACAGAGTGCAAATGTACACTTCTAGCATTAGGCGGTGCTTCAATAGAAAAGACACAGGCAGAGTAAAGTAGAATCTCTTCTCTCTCCGTAATGCTATATGGCAGAATGCTTTACTGATGCCCCCAAAATGTAACTCATTATGATTTTTTTGGTGTTTTTTTTTCCTTTTGTTTTGCTTTTTTATTATTTTTGTTAGTTTGTGTCTCATGTTAGGTGTGGGTGTTTTTTTTTCCAACTATTATAATTCATTTTATTCCTTCTTGAAGGGCAGAAGTTCTTATGAGCACTGTGGCTTATGTTACGCACATAAAAATACAATTAAAACAATGCCAAGTATTACAGGAGTTGTTTATAGAGAAAAATATTCTAACAAATATGGTATACAGAAAATGGAAACAGCAAACATTTCTTTCCTAAGGCTGTAATTTTGTCTAATAGGTACAAATATCAACTACCTGACAAGTAAGGCATCCTTCTACCGGAGGTCACATACATGAGCTCCAACAAATCTGTATTATAACTGTGATGTTATAGAATAGGCCTCACAGTATTTACCTCTTTTTTGTGATTTTTCTGTAGGAGGTTTGGCTGCTTGTAATGCTTGGTCTTTGTCAAATGTAATTGCAACAGCTGTGACTGCTATCTGCAAATCAGAAATTGATGGCATGTTAGCAACTTAATTTCTTATGCAAAATCCAAAGTTTTTTGGAAAAGAAAGCCAAGTGAAGAAAACAAACAAACAAGCAAAACAAAACTAACAAAACCCAACAGATTTTTCCACAGGAAAATAATGAAAGAAAAAAAAAATTAAGCAGATATATTTAAAAACCTCCTTCACTGCACAGAATAAACAGGAATACTAAGGTCTGAAGTCAGAACATACATGGCAGTGTTTCTCCTGTGTTTACAGTTTTATTCATCAGTTTGTTCACTCTTTCTTTCTTGGTGAAATGACAAAAGAAATATCATACAAACTCATTACTACCTTTTGCCTGAGAGAAAGAAAGAGATTTTTAATTGATCCCAAAAACAATGTCATTTAAAAAAACTAAGTAGACTGCATCATCTTGAAACTGAAGGAAAAAAATACAGGTAATTTTAGACGGCAGTATATTTAGTATAATAAATGCCTTAATGCATACCTAGTCTGGACTTTTTGTTTCCTAATTAAAACCTCGCATGAAGACACCCCATGCTCATGATTTGCTATGTGTGCAGTCCCACGATTCTCAAAACTAGTGCCTCTATAGTCACCTTTCCTCTTCACAGCCTTAAGTTTCACTTCAGAATCCACCAAGCATACCTATAATCCAGCCCTACTGGACCAAGTGTTAATGAAGGGCAAAACTGGCACGCCTACATGCTGAAATTCTGAAGAAGCAATACACTTACCTGAACTATTTCATCCTCTGGAAGAGAGACAGTAAAATTCACATGACAAAGGCAGCACGGAACCATAGATCGCAGTTTAAAATACAAGCTCTGTTAATGACACAAAATTATTTTTGAAGAAGTTTAATTCAGAGAAATTAAAGGTAAAAATTCTCTAGAGCACACTATCAATAAGGACTTATTCAAAAATCTTTGGAAATGTCTAATGTACTAAAAAAGGCCAAATCTATCAGCAGCATGCAAACTAATTTCAGGCACAGTGTAGCCGAATTGTGAAACGCAACTACGAAGAAAACATTACTGTCACTACACTCTCATTTCACCTTGCTCCCAATGAACAATTCAAGGTATATTTTAAATCAAAGACTCTTACCTTCAACAGGTTCTCACATAGGTCATTGAAGTTCTTGTTAAGTGTTTGATTTGTTAGATTAATATTGCTTAATCTGGAAACTCTTACTGCTGTGAACATCTGAATTAGATACACACAGATAAGAAAAATAAGACAGAAATGGAAAGAAAAGGAAAAAACTAATGAAGCACATCTTCAAAATTTTACAAAAGACAATCTCTGCAAACTACTGTTTATGAATATGTGAAAAAGGTGACTGATCAAGATATAAAATACTGTATGCCATTCTACCTCCTACATAATTTTCAACCAGAGAAAATATAATGTACATAAATTGTGTACAATAACGTACACAATAATGGAATGTCGTATACAGACACACAGGCAATCACATCAACCTGACAGCATGCTGCTAATGTATTCATCTTACTTTCAGATTCAAACTCCATTTCTGCAAAGCATAGTCCTGCACTGTGCCAATTTAGATCTGTTTTAACTCCCTCTCTACATGTGACAATTGTATGGTATATATTAACTCAAAATAGTTAATTACAAACAGAAGTTTTCTTTTTTCTCCATTTTGGCTTTAGCTAATTCTTACTTATCTTAATCTACTAAAGCTATCAAATTCAGTATTTGACACTAGCCAACACTTTCAACATTTGTTCAAGAAGCTCTAAAATCTAGCCAGGCTATTAAGAATGCCTGAAAGCTCAAATTCATATTTATCACAACTGTTTTTTTTAATGTTTGCATTTCTGTAACAACTTGTTACACAACAATATTAAAAAATAGAAACAACACACACACAGGCACACACAAAAAACAGACTCCACATCTTCCTGTTCTTAACAAAATGCCACCCATATTTCTAGCACAAAGGTATCCTCTTAAATTATCTTTCAAAATCAGTGATCCCTAAAATATCTTTAAGTTACTACTGCACATTTCAACAGTTTGGAAGGAATGTATGATGGTAGTTTTTATGGTTTATTTTTTGAAATAACCTTACTTGGATTTCCGGTGTCCAGTTATTTATACCAGGCATAATTTCTGTGTTGCAACTGTAAAAACCTGTAATGATAATATTTGGGCAAATTAAGTTGTACATTGAAATATGAAAATATTTCTGAAGAAATGTATACAATCCCACTCGATGTTCTGCAAATAAATTCCCTCGAGCATTTCTGAATATTGGATAATAACAGAAAAACAAGAATGGTAATTAAAGAAAAAGCGACATCTGAAGAACACAGTATTACTTGTAACAGAGACAGAGTTTCTATTATTCATACTGCAGTGAAAAACAGATGAGAAAGATGGAACTTCTAAATCAAATGCTCTAACTACAGAATCCTTATTCTGAATATTTATCTAACTGCCCAAAATCAAAGCCAGAACCTTCAACATGGTGACATCAGAGAGATTAAGAAGCATCAAATGCAACAGTGACAACTGTATAGAAGACTGGCTAGCTCACGTCACCTGATGCTGACAGGTGAGACATGCTGCCAGGCTGCCTCATGGGGCCATTCCCTGCCAAGCCCCGCAACAAGAACCTCACAGAGAAGAACACAAAGACACTTTTTAGCTCTGATCAACATATACTTATGCACTGTCATTGGCAAACACCAAAAATCCACAGCTTAGCTCCTAAGAAACTAAGTACAAATGAAGAAGTTTACAAGAGGCACCTGGATGAGGAGCTACGAGATACGGTGTAGTTTGTGGTGGTAATGGTAATGAGAAGATGGTTGGACTAGATGGTCTTACAGGTCATTTCCAACCTTGTGATTCTGTGATTCTTTAAAATGTACTCAGAGGAGAAGCTGAAAAGCTAGCCCCTCAACAGACAGCATAGAGACGCTTGAAGATACCAGCTGAAGATGAGAGTGCAAATATTAGCACTTACTCAGAGAAACTTGAAGAGATTGGGAAACAAACAAAACAAAAAAAGGCACAACAACTGAACAGTAGGGTAAGTTATCAAAAGCAAGTATGTAACCCTGAAAATCTGAATGTACATCTAAAAGAAAAAAATCTGGTAGAGTCTCTGTAAACGCACAAAATAAGCTAGAAACTGTGGAGCAGCTTGAAAAAAAAGTGTAAATATGAATTAATTTTCTTTCAGAACATCAAAAGCAGAAATCTTCTTAAGTGTCCAGTAAGACATAATATTCAAGGTATTCAAGGTAATAACAAGGTAGCAGACCGCATGTACTTTCTGTGTCAGTGCTCACTATGGAAGAGAAGGTTTCCACAGCGGTGAAAAACTCTAATTGATATTTCAAATAACTTGTCTTAAATAGAGATTTCTGAAGGAGTTATTGAACAACCAGGCAAAAGAACTAGGAATAATAATAATAATAATAATCATATACCAACAGGTGTGTAATTGCCACCAGAGAAAAGGGATCATTTCACCTTCTGGTATTGAGGTGCTTTTACGTGCCCAGAAGCTACTAACTTACATGGCACAGATATTGGCACTACTGATCTGAGGAAGCTATCCCAGAACATGAAATCAATGGGAGAAAGAACAAGAAGATGCTGAAGAAAAGCTGGTAACATTTCTGCAAATAGAAGCAATGGCTCACACTCCCACCGGAGTTCTGTGAAGGAGTCAAGAAGCACATAAACATCTGATCGATACAATCTGCTTGGGACATAAAAAGGCATTTGGTAAGACAGACTCTTTAATAAAGCAGTATGCTGAGGAATACAATAGAACACCACTGAAGGAAATACAGACGGTTAAAAGACTCAACAGAAGGTCAGAGAAAATGGTCAAATTTTACAGTGGATAAATTTGTAACTCAGAACTGTATACTTCCAACACTGCTTATCTGTAAGAGAGGACATAATGAGATGACTGCTGACAACCTCATTTTAGGGTAGTAAAATCAGCTGCAGCAGGACCTAATGATAGATAATAAGTATGTAAGAGATGAAATCTAATATTAATAAACTACTGATGGGCGCAGAAAAAAATTAACATCACATATATGCAGTGACAACCTGTCTGTTGGCTACGATCTATGAGGAATAAAAGATATGGTCATAATAGCAGGTAACTGACAACGATAGTTCTGGACTCAACAGTAGCAAAAAGATAAATACTGGCAGCAATTATTAGGAATGCAACAGACTCTCACAAGCATGGGTAAACTCCAAAAGACAAAAGAAGGATGACATGTGTGACCAAACTTCTGTATGGTCGATGACTTCATTAGCCTCTTAGTCAGATCAAGAAGTTCTGTCAAGTGGGGTATGATAGGTGTCTGTAAAACCACAGATGGAATACAGAAAACTGACGGAAAGCAGTAATTCAATTCACTGTTCTTCCCAGTACAGTAAGGAAGAAGGAGGAAAAAAAAGCTAAGAAGGCAGCTGATTCAAAACAAGGGCAATGGCTTTTATAGAGGTACAAATGCTGATGCAAAATTCTACAAACACAGAGAGCACGCATGCGTTCAAAATGCAAACAGCAAAACACACAGAAAAGTTTGATAAAAAGCTACTCTCTTTCAAGGTGCTGCTGAAGTACTAACTGTTAATAGCCTATTCTGTTGGGTTTTTGTGTTTTGTTTTTTTTTATTCATTTTGCTCAGTCTTATTTTAGTGGAATACGCATTTTTGGCTCACCTGCAACAGCAAGCATACATCGTGTGATACAGTACACCTATTTCTAGGTGGAGTTTTCAAATAACTCTTAAGAAATAAATCTATAAACACACAGAAGGAATTACAAGTTACTGCATTTCTATTATGTAACTCTTCTGCTGTCTACAGAAAATGGCCATTACTGACTTGGACAAAAAGGCTATGGGTGATTTAAGAACTCCAAATCTTTTTTGACTTTGCTTTCTCAACAGTAATGACTACCAAAGCAGTGAAAACAAGCATATTAAAGTTCATGGTATAGCACAGTCACAAAGTAAGGAAAATGTGTGAGGGCTCTCCCAAAAGTAACGTCTCCTATTTTCTTATGTTGGCCCATGAGATCAGAGGCAGATGTTGGCTGTATGGCAGTAGAAGCTGAACCTTCCCACCAATATTCCATTCCATTTTGTTGTAGTTTCCATGGAAATAAATAGAAGACATTATTTCTGGAGTGACCTAAGTATATGCACAAGATAAATGGAGTGCTAGAAGGGCAAATTGCTCGCTTCAGAATGACACTGTTGTGGTACACTGTATGGCTAAATCAACATACTGCGCTCCATACTTCTATTTTCACTGTCTGAAAAACTTACAAACTTGCCACTGAAATTCTAAAGATCTTCAGCAACTGATCCATATGAAGTAACTACAAACTTGCAACTATGGTACAAATCAGTAAAATACAAGGTGCCACACAAACACTGTGTTTAACTCAGTTTTCAATGAGTAACATATCCCCATAAGTCGTAATGACTTGTAACTCAGAAAACTTTCACTTGCAAAGTTGTATCTTGTCACGTTGTTAAGGAGGAGGTTTTACAGGCTACAGTATAAATCAGAGAAGTATTGTTTTAACTATACCAGAAGGCGGTGGAGCATCTGTCAGCAAAGAATGTACATCTTCCATTGCATCTGTATCATCGATCTAGGGGAAAAAAAAGATAGCAATAAATAAAAATCACATCGTTTTTTCGGTCAGAAGTCTCAGAAAGACGTAAAAGTGATGTTATCTAGAGATTTGTGTCTGCCAGCTAAGCAGATACTTTAAAAAAGGATTCCATCAGTCAATCTTCTGAATTTAAACCAAGATCTTATGATGTGTTAAATGCCTGGAAAACAGTTCCCTCAGTTAACCAGCATTAAGAAAACAAGGAGCGCAGAATATACATGAATTGCACTCAGTAAGAAGGTGACAATAAATTATTTTTAAAACAACATAAAATCCCCAACAAGGTATCACAGACCTTAGAACTTGTTTCAGCTAAGCGGTCCTGAGATCAAGAGTCAGGAGCTTCATTAAAGCTCCTGGAATTTTGTGTCTAATTACCAATTTCTTAACTAGGGATACAGTAGTAAGTGGTTCCACAAAACTGAAAGGCACACATGATAGGATCAATATATCCACATGATGGAAACCAGCAAGTATAGTCCCTTAATTCAGAGTTCTGCATTCTGCACTAATGAGATCCTATTTTTTCCTACCCATTCTGAGCAGCATCATAGTGTATTTTGTTACATACTTACGATTTTCCCTTACACATGGGGACCTCCTGCTATTAACTCAAGCACTTCTACCATAGTTAATAAGGTAAAGAATTCTCCAAAACAGTAAAAAAAAATAATAATAATAATAAAAAAAAAAGAGCCGACCTCTGCTTGTGCTATATAATGCAGTTTTTAAGTAGCTGATCTTTGCTTATAGCAGATCAACCTTTTTTATGGGGACACCTGAAGGAAGTTTGCCTGACTTTTATCAGTACCACCCCTCCTCTAGTTAACAGATTTAGATGCAAATTGGAGGACATTTATGTTTTTCAGGTATTTCTTCCAACTCCTACACAGTTTCTTGCAATGAAATGGTCTTTGTTCTCTTTTTAATGCAATAACATCATGCTTTGTTTGTGACAGTCATCCAACACTACAGCATCCACTGAACTATCTTCTGATCAACTCATCTACTCAAATCCATTGCCTCACAGTACATCTCTCATCATTTTTGCTTAGAGGATACAATTTCATTCACCAGAGTCTATGCAGATCATGCCAGCTGCAAAATTTATTTGATGAGAACAGATCTTACTCATTTTAAATGTGAAACTAACCTAAGGGCCTTCCCGATTTACTCTCTTTGATCCCAGCATACTTGTAAAGCACTGGAGAACAAAAGTTTACTCAAACATCAGAAGTGCTAACTAATGTCAATTTATTAATTTATACCAACTGCTCACAATCTGTTTGTTTGGGTTTTTTTCCACTCTCCAGTCTCGGTGTTTTCAAATTAATGCCTATTACAGCACCTCTCACATTCTCCCCTATCGACAACATTTCTTTCAGATTACTTTCCATGAAGGTAGCGTTTTGTGAAGATTAACATAACTATTGAATGTATGCCAGGCTGCAATTACAGGTTGTAATTTCATTCATTTTTTTCTTTTTGTTAGTTGAGGTCAGGTCTTTATAACACTTGTAACTACAAAAAAAAAAAAAAAAAAAAAAGAAAAAAAATCCCGAAGCTCTAGAGTTCTTTAATACCTGATCCTTTTCTCCAAATTTTACGTTATTAAAACTACATCTTTAAATCTAAGTGAAGAAAGAGGTAAAATAAACATGCATTTTTTTTATCTACAGACAATTTCTGTTTCTAGTTATAGCTGTAGATGGAATTGGATGGTATTCTCCTCAGTTTTAAATTTTTGCGCTCAGAAAAGCATCAGCGGTAAGTTCAGAAAATAAGTTAATTCCTTCCTTTATGCTCTCTTGACACCTGCTGTTCTAATAATTCTGAATATCCAAGTACAACATCAAGAGCTTTGCAGCAGGAAGAACACAAATTTGGCCAAGAAAAATGCATTGAGACAATAGAGAACCACATCATTCATAACAATGTATTGTAGCTTTTCGATCCATCATAACTGTTGCTTGAAGTAGGCAGAAGAACATTTCTCACCAGCTTAAGTTATAATTTTACAAACATATATGACACAAACATCAGTGTGACATTTTTCCTAATGACACAAAATGGGAAGAAAAAAAGGAGTATAAAATTTTAAAACTGTCGTCAGAGAAGTTTTTATTTTCTTGTTTGACTGTTTTTAAAGTATGTTGGGAAAAGAAAAAGGTATGAAAATGTAGTACTGAAAGCATTTATCACCTCCAAGACAAAAGCATCTTTCTTCCCATGTGAAAGATCTAGCTCTGTAACTTCATCAGAGCTTTCTGATTGAGATCTCAATAACCTGGAACGCTGTCTTGGCTCTGGAATGGGAGACCCAATGATTTCTTCAGGTAGTTCCTAAAAAAGACATCACAATTAAGTTGCTCAATGTAGTTTTAAAACCATTTCATTTCTAAGCAATTTCTTCACAGTTTTAAGAATCAGAACATTCTGAAACTACATTTTCTTAGAAAGAAATCTACATATATATAGATATATCTATATATCTGGATTTTAAGACAAGTACAGTATGTTCACAAAAAATAGTGAACGTATTACATATCTCTCAAAAATAACTTACGTCATTTGTGTTAAATTCAGAATACACTATTTTTAAGAATATAAAAGCTTTACTTACTGGAGGATTGATCTCATAAAGCTCCTTGTTTTTTGCTATTGTATCATTTATTTTCTTTTGCATGTGAGATATATGCTGCTCATAGGTGCCATCATTTGGAGTCTTCCCAGCGATCTGAATACCACCAGGTGTTGGCAAAGCGGCTAGATACACACCTGTTGCAGACTTTTTAGCAAATCATTAAGGAAAAAAAATACTCTTAAGCATCTTCAAACCTCTTACACAAACATGTACTTCTAATCTTTTCATAGAAATGGTTTTCAATAATGGTTATGATATATTGGAGAGCATTATAACACACTATAGCACAATCTCTTTCCATACCAGATTAATCTCTGTCTCTACTGTTCACATATGTAAAACACTTGCCTTTTAATAAACTTCCTTATTCTCATAGATCTTTTGCATGATGGAGCTTATAACTTACCTACAAGTTCCAAACAAAGTATGAATTCAAAACTCTCCCACATTATTCTAAGTTTTTATCTTCAAAATGAATTACGTTGATACAGGTCCTGGCACTAGTACATCTTGCATAGGCAAGTGATGGTCTCCCAGTTTCCAACATTTAAAGTTTGTCCAAACAAGTTACAGTTGTGACAGACCCATTCTATATTTTCATGAAACAAATCATCAGGTCAGACAAAAGAACCACGGAAGCCACTCAGTATTACCCAAGCATCCTCTTACATCGCCGCAGGAAGAAGTATAATTCCCTATTCTTACCCCACATAACAAAATGTAGTTTAAAATACTGCGAATGAGCATTTTCTCGCTACACCTGGGAGACTTTCCGCCTGTTATTCATTTATTTCTTCAATAGTTGCGACGGAGAGGCAACAAACCTTTCTCTAGTTGGCAACTAACCAAAGGATGTATCGACCACATTTGACATGGAGCTCTAATGCTACTTGAGGAACAAGGATCTCTGATCTTTAAATAATGCAATCATTTTTCTATAATTTATGACATTGAACTGTCTGAGGTTTCTTTCCCTCACAACCCCTGTCTAATAAAATCCTTCTCAAGCAGAGCCTCAAGAGGTTCCAATCTTCTTTTCTCATGCTGAAAGACAATCTGTCCTGATCTGACAGCAATTAGACACCTTATTTCTTCCCATCACTACAATTTATTCTTAAAATGACATTTTAACATCCCTAGCAATCCTGAATTCCACAACATGTGTATGTCTTTGTGTCTTGAAAAAATAACTCAAGAAAGCAAGAGTCCCAGGATTAAAACTGTACTTACTGCCAACCCCATTAGCATATTTTCACCCACAGTGATTTGAATTTTCAGCCCAAACAGAGCATTCATTCCTCTTAGCTTAAGTTTGTTCATCAGTTGTGTGTGCACTTCATATTCCATAAATGGCAAGAGATTACTGATAGAAGTTGCGTTTGCTTCTGCTTGAGCTTTCTTCTTTAGACGGCATAACCTGGTAATAAGAAACAGTACATAACATCAGCAATTTTAACAGACTGTAGAAAATTGAAAATGATCACAGGATACTTTCTCACATCGCTGTAACACCAATACAACCAGTTTCCTGTTACCATATTTATTTACTTTTAAACAGGATTTTAAAATAAATAAAAGTAAATTCTTCTTGAGAAGACCTAGGCACTGAGTTTCAACAACTGACTTAATCTTCATTTTTAATACGAAACTATTTTAATATGAAACAAAAATCTGCAGCAATAAAAGAAACGTAAAATAGAACAATAATGACCTTCAGCAATATTAAAATCATATTCTCTATCAGAGCAGAACACAAAACATAGAAGTATTATATTTTTCTAAACCATTGAATAAAGTCTCCTTCATTGAAGGTCCCTTCCAACCCCTGACACTCTGTGGTGGTAGTGAAGTATGCTTAAAGGGTGTTGTCAGACAGAAACAACATGCATCATGCAGGTGTGTTTTCTTTCCATAATAGTCTGACAGCATGAAATAACTACTGAACACCTATTCTGTTTGTTTCTGTTGCTGCAAGCCTCCTAATTGTTTAAGGTACAATTTCAGAACATTACTGGAAGAACTTGAATAATTATATTAACGGAAATTTTTCAAGTAACACTTGGGAATAAAGGGAAAAAAAGTAGAAGAAAAAATCAGTGCCCTCACAGCTCAAGCAATAACAAAGTTAGAAATACTCATTTCTCATGAATAAAAGGCTACAGAAATACCATCTCTGACTAGAGTGTTAGTAATATTCCCTTCTTCAGCTTCAGTCTCATAGGCTGAAACTCAAACACCACGCTAGTGTAATGACCGCTTACTTTCAGTTGTAGAATGGCATTCAAAAAGAACAAATGATAACTGTCTTCTATTGATAAGATCAGTTATTTCCTTCTACGGACCAAATTACTACATGACCAGAAAAAAGTAGTAATTCACCTAATCCTAACAAGCTCACCTCAAAATCTTTCTGAATATATTTTAAATCTTTGTTTCAACTTAAGGCAAATGCCTCTTGCCCTTCCACTGTGCACCACCCTACCTAATGTCTTCTTCAGCAGCTCCCTGTAAGTGTAAGAAGGCTGCAATTAGATACCCCTGAAACCTTCTTTCCACACTGAATGAGTCCAGATGCCTCCTCCTGTAAGGGCAGGTGCTTCTTACTCTTTTGGTGGTCCTCCACTAAACTCTCTCTAATTTGCTGATGTGTTTCTTAGTCTTGGAGAACACAGCTCAACTTAATTAATTCACCACCTTCAATGTAGTATAACTAACAAATCCTTACCCACACCCATGTGTCCAACAGTACAGGTCCCACTGCAGAACTTGTTACATTTGTTAGGTCATCCTAGTAGGTTATGAACTATATACCACAATTCTTTCAGTCCAGCCATCCAACTAGTTATCTATCCACACAACTGGACAACCATACGTATCATACACAGCTAACCCTTCCTTCTTTCCCACTTCCCATAAATTTCCTTATTCCCCTTTTGAAATTGAAAGGCCACAGCATAAATGTGACACAGCTGACAGTTCTACAGAGCTGAAGTTATGGACATCAGCAAAGTATTAATACAACTGTCTTAAAGAATTAGTTGAGTTTACAATGGAATAACTATAACAGATCACGTTAGCAGTCCTAATCAGCAAGCATCGCAACTCTGCCTTATAATTCATGCAAACAAAACACAGCAGTGTCCACCAACAAACAAAAGTTACATCAACAGGCATGCACATAACACAATGGGAGGAGAAAGGTGGCATTCCCTATGTACCTTAATACACTGTTGTTAAATGAAAATTAAAGCTTGAATAACATATTCAACTACAGTAACAGGAATTCTTTCGAAGACCTCTAAAACTTCATGAAGAAAACATTTTGATCAATACCTGGCTTGAATAAGACATCCCTTTCCAATAACAGTGGCCTCTACAGGAAGATCAATTGTGGTGAAAAGGACATCAGGAACTTTTTGCTTCCTGCAGTTGTAACAATAAGTGAGGTGAGCAGGGAATGGCATGTTCAATTCATCGTACGGTATATGGCAAAATCCACAACCTGGTGGTGAAGCTTCTTCAATCCTAAAAATACATTATGGAGAACATACTTAAAACATCCACATCTTATTAACAAGCATCAGCATGTGCACATGTGTACTGCATTTCATCAATGAAAGATTAAAATTTGGCTGCACACTAGCTAATACATAAATTAGGCTTGTGCTCAAACTTATGATACAGGGATTGAATACATACAGCGGCCAATGATTGATGCACTCCTAAAACATTACTGAGCTAGCTTTAGGCTCTACAACTTTTTAAATGTAGTTCATGGTACAACACATTTACAGAGAATTTGTGGTACCAAATGTAAGTCTCTTATCTGATTGTATCAAAAAACCTACTCAAGCCTAATAAGCAGAACATAAATGACAAAACAACCATCCTACTGAGAAGCACAATAGATGTTAACATTGCAAAAATATTTTCTACACTAAAGTATCAGGTAAAACTTGCTGTTCATTTAAAACAGACAGTCCTCCTTCCCAGCAGGAAAAATCCAGGAGCGACCACTGTAAAAAATATGAACAAGGAACATGTATGCAAACATCATCCCTGCAAACTTACTTTGTTTCACATAAACCAGTGCTTCTCAGTTATTTTTGAGGAGATGCTTAAAACAAATTCGAGAGACTTGGAACATTAAGGATCACTTTGGCAAGCATATTTTGTCTCAAACATGGTTTGAGACATGTCTGTCTGTCTGGTTGCTTTATCTTACTTTGTTATCCTTGCCAAGACTCTTAGTAGCACTGAAATACATATTTAGATAAAAACAGAATTTCCTTCACAATGTGAGCACATTTCTTTCTTTCCATCTCTTATTCTTTTGATAGAATGTAGAGTGATATACTGAATACAGATACAAATATTTGTGTTCTGGCTACATTCTTCAAGACCCTATCTGCACAAGAAGATAACAGCCTCTTGATAGAGTAAAAAATAATAATAATAATAAACCACACAACATTAGCAGGATTATATGAAAAAAGTAATACAAGTGTTAATGTTTAACAAATAGCCTTACTTGTGACTTAATGTCACCCCTTGAAATATATGCTGACTTTTCTGACAAATAAGCAACCATTATGTATTAATCTAATTAGTTGGGTTTTTTTGTTTTTTTTGGGTTTTTTTTACCCGAAGTAATTGTCTGTCAATAATCATTCTTTAAGTTTTATTTGCAAAAGCAGAAACAAAGGGATGTATAAGGAAACTTCATGGTTTTCATTCAGTTTCTTGATTTTTGTTTCATGAACTTCACCTAAAAACATATCTCTTGTGAAAAAAATCTGTGACCATCACTGCTTTACAACTAAGCTATTTTATCTCCTACACACAGAGCATATATACAGATATGATAGCCACAGTAGAATTTGGCTTACATAACATATGATACACCTGTCATTTTTTCTATGTGATATAAAGTTAAGAAAGATACCTGAGGAACGGCAAAGAGAAAAACTGAGTTATCATCTGTGGTTAGTATCAAATGTGTTACCTTATTCAGACTGTTAAAAATAAAAATAGAATATCTAATTTGTTGTAGAGTTCCATTACTTCTGTTGTTGTTGTTGTTAGTGAAAAGCAGTAAAGTGGTTGGTCCCGCATCCTGCACTGTAACACTGTAACCTACCCTAATAGAGAAGAACTATCTTGGCTGTGAGGAAAAAAATCAACCTCTCCCTTCTCTGACCCTATGGAAAAGAAGCCAGGCTGCCATGACAACCTTTGATCCAAACAGCCTTCCATGGTGCCATCCTGAAGAAACCTAGGGTTCAGTACAGCTGCTGTGCCAGACGCGGACAAAATACAGACCTCTTCACTATAAGAGAAAAAAATTACAATAGAGTGAATTCCTACTACTCAGTACTGCTTTCAAATACAACGATTAAACTAAAAAGTCTTGAACTTAAGTCTCTGTAAATTCAATATAGCTACTAATTTTACGCATTCATTCAATTTTATCCATGAGACCACACACACAATCCTCTTTCAGTATTTAAATTATGTTATCAGTAAGCAAAGCAGGAATGAACAGAAAGACTAAAGAGCTTTGCCTGACGTTATAAAGAATATAGTACAGTACCACAAAGGTTACCTGGGTTTTTGACACTACAGTTAATGAAAAGAAATCCAGTCATCCAACAAAGGCAAAGAAATGTTTAAAAAATGAAAAAGCATAACTGTTTACCAAAGTGAACTGGAAGCTGAGAGTGTCATCATCTTACAGACAATTACTCTCAGAATGAAGTTACAATACAACGTGGACAACAAGATGCTTCTTGGAAGATAGTAAGTAGCAAAACTACCAACAATTACAATCACAGTACGTACAGCATGTAAAATAACCAGCCACATTCCTGGTTTAGAAGAGTTAAAACTCTCAGAAATGCAAAGCATGATTCACAAAGCTTTCAGCATTTTTAAATTAGTTAAATATGAAATAAACCTATAATATTCAGTACTTAAAATACTACAATGAAAAAAAATACGGAAAACATCTTTCCTACATTGTCTAGAATGATATATTTGCCTTCTTTATTTGTCATTTCTTTTTTCAGAATCATTTTTATACACCATATCTAGCAGAGCAATACTACAGACACAGCTTTGCTCTTTATGGAATAAATATTAATTGACAAGTAAGTACAGAAACTCAAACATTAAACTACACTAAGTTTCTAAAGGAAACGAATGTATGAAATCTTAAAATTGACTGCCTAACTCTGTACAGTTTTACCCAATACCTAAAGTTAAACAAGATTATATATTAATTCTGTAACAAGATGAATTGTAAGATATTTCTTCCCATCTCCAGACTTCTCACAGATTATTAAGGCATAAAATACACAAGATTAGCATTTCTTAGTGAAGAGGAATTCAGCAAGACACAGGAATTTTGGCCTGAGTAGGACACATGCGGGGGGGATCTTACTGCTTTCTAAAACTGGACTTTCAGAAAGACTACTGCAGAGCTGCAGTTTAACACACTCGAAAATAATGACATGCACTTTTTTAAAAAGAAATGCAGTATATTTATACCTCAAGCATTCTTATGCATTAGGCAGCACATTTTCCTTTAACGTACATTTAATACATTCCTAGTAAAGAACTTGTGTCTCAAGTTTGATGTTTACCACTTAAGTACCAGTCCACCACTTTTACTGCAAGTAGATTAGGTTTAGAAAACTTCAAAGAAATTAGTACTACTTCTACAAAATCAAACATTCAGGTTTGAATTATTTTTTTTTTTTAATGCAGTAATAAGAACAAACAATGTCACTAGGAAATAAATGAAAACCCAGCGAAAGCCCAAACCAAAACCTATTAAAAAGGAAAAAAACCTATTAAAAGGAAATCTGACAGACTGTTTAAATTTTTAAGCTCAATTCTGAAACTTAAGGAAATTACTTCGGCATGTCCTCCAAAGTAGACCTAGTAGAGAGTGGCAACAACTGTGTTGAAACAGTTCTCTGTCTGTAATCCATTGAAAAATAAAATAAATTTTCTGTGGCATTTTGAAAAATCATGATTTACCAAATGCTAGTTGATTCACTGTAGCCCACTACAGCATGACAACCCAATGCCTTGGCATGGGATTTTATTTCTTGTCTGATTTCTGCCCACCACGCATCTCGTGTCTCTGGTTCATCTGAAAGACAAAGTACAAATCAGTTCACTATTCCGCACTATGCCAATATAAAGTTTCATGCAATTAATCTCACAGGCTGAAATTTTCATATTCAAGTGTTTTATCTGAGGACTTCCTATTTCCTAGCTGTCACACTACAAGTATTGAGCAAACATCAGCAGGGCTGTGTCATTAATGTTCCTGTTTATCACTCATGGAACTGGTTCTGACAAATTACTGCGTTCTTGCTGTGGTCTGTAAGACACCAAGTATTGGAGACACTATTTCAGTCTGTACCATCTTTAAGATCATGCTATCAGTTTCCAACAACTTAAGAATAGCATCTAACTTGCAATAAAGCATCAAAGATCTTTTCTAACAAAAGAAAAACTACTACTAATAATGAACCAGTATTTAGAGTAATACATTGATATTTACCTCACATCTTTGAAATAACCTGAATATTTTTTCTACTGTAAGCAGAAGTACTGTTAGCAGATTTTTAAAACCATTTGCACAAGACTGAATCACCAGTCACAGTGCTCTGCAGTTCTTGGTTTACCACTAACTTATAATAACAAACAGTACAAATTTTAAGCTATTTTTAAATTAACAGCATGAAGAAGAACAAGAAGTATGTTGACTACATACTTGACAACATATTTTTTGCTTCAGTATCCCGATGACTGTCCTGGTGACTGCACTTTTTTTTTTTCCTCCTTCCAAAATGGATTATTTATCTCATCATCTCTATTGCCTCTGGGGTGCATCCTAAATATTAAATATACTCTAACTCCTTACCCTGAGAACTACATTAAAATGCAAAAGAAAAGTATTACTAGGATAAGTTCGTGCAATTTATTTGAGTGTTTAGAAACAAATTTCTCAAAATTAAAGCTATCCCTGCAAACTTTTTATATATGAACTCAAAAACTACAGTTTAAAACTAAGGTTTATAAAGTGCTTCATCTTTCAAAATGGAAAACTATGTTGACTGTTGATACATAAAACAAGGGAGAAAACAAAATCAAACTGTAGGCACTCAGATACTACAAGAGGATCTGAACAGATAGATTCTCACACAATTCCACTGGAATCAATTGCATTTGGCACGGATACAAGTTCTAGCCATCAGGATCTCGTTGCTAAGTCATAATATAAAATATTAAATCTGAGAACCATTGGGAGCCACTTTCGCACTTTTGTGCTATTAGGAATATTTATAAATATAGTGTATGATAATTCGATATCATACACTAAGTTCTCTGACAACGTGATGAACAAAAATGGAAGATGCAGATATACAGATATTTTGAAACCTGCTGAAACAAAAACATCGTACAGCAAGATACATTCATCCATGATTTCACCTCAGCTTTCTTTTTTTCTAATTCAGAATTTGGCTTTCAGCTTTCTAAAATAAACCAATGATCATTTTGTAATAATTAAAAAGCAAGCACAAAGGTTTGTATTAATAAGTTAGTTATTCAACCATATCTATTTTAAGATGTTATTGCTTGTGTACTCATACTGTACTAACAGCAGGCTTGGGTGTGTAGAATCAAGGTCATCCAACATTTGCTTTAAGAAACATATGCTAATGACAACAAAAAACTACAGTGATCATGGAGAACCTTCCTAAGAACTGAGACAAAAAATATACACACCAAAACATAAAGCAGACTAAGGATTTTCATGAGTTGTATCAATCACGCTACACTCCAGTTGAGTTTACCTTCAGCAGGTTTCAACACATTCCCAGTAAAATCTCTAGGCATTGCATTTTGCCGTTCCTCAGAATGAAACCAGCACTGAAACAGTTTTACTGGCAGGAAGAATCAAGTGCTCAAGACTCAGATGACTGTGGTACCTGCTATTAAATTCCCACACTTTTCAGCTTTCAAGAGCTGAGCAGAAGTAGCCCATCACATCACAGCACTGGACTTCCCAAGTTCACTGTTGATAACAGTGTTATCAACTTTTTGTTATACATCAAGCAAATTTTTATTGCATGTGTTCGGGTACAGAAATGCACAGGCTGTCCTCGCTGCCACCAGTTAACAGAAGCATTACTATGCAACCAGAGGAACTTTGGAAACACATTTTAAGGCAAAGACTACGATGTCAGACAAAACACATTAAGCTACAGGAAGATGTGAGACCACAAGCAAACCAATTAAATGTCATCACTAATTCTTCCTGATAGAATGTAAATGGGTCTAAAGAGACATTTCTCCTTCTTCCATCCAATCACAGTCAAGAAGTTTGCTTATTAATGTGTTTCCCTCTATAAGAGAATGGTTTAACTAGGTAGAAAAAGTGGGAGCACTGACCACACAAGACACTTCTTGCTCAACCAGGCTTGATCACAGGCTGCTGGATGTAAGCACTGATGGAATAGCCAGTGACATTTTTGTGATTCACAGAAAAACCTGCAATGGAGATGTAACTGGACCACTGCAATCTTTTCCCAGACATAAAGACTTAGGCAAAGGAAAGTTAATTTTATTATTGTCGTTAGTTTTCTCTTCACATCCTCAGGTACCACTTGGCAAATACTGCTAATGACCTCTCTGTGCATATGAAATGATGTTGTAATGAAAGACTTGAAAGCAAGAGGTGAAGCAATGGGGTGAACAAATGAGGCACTGTGGGGTAAAGAACAAGATTACAAGCAAGAAAATGATAGTAAAAAGGAATGTGGACACAGGAAAAACTGAAACAGAATGAAATGTTGAAACAGAACAGACATGCTCAAAGGGAACAGAAATGGCTGAGAGAGAAGTGACGGGTCCCAACCTCTACTACAAACACGTAACTTTCCTCAACAGGAAATTTAGCTTTTAAATCAAAGTTAAGAGCAAGTTTTTAAGAGAGTTAACACAATTTTCTTACCCAGTCTATCTACAAGAATGCCTTATCATAATGAAAAGTGCATATTTGGTGAGGTTGCTCAACACTATGTCTTGCTCAAGCAACATTTAACTCTTTACTCTAAGCATCTGTAATTACTGTAGTAATGTAATGCATGATTTTCATTCTTATTAAAGATAAGAACCATTTTCCAGTCATTGTCTTCACTGCTCACAGGATCAGGCTCAATATCTTTCAAAAAAATAAAAATAAAAAAATCCAACAAATTCTCATTGTGAAAGTTCAAAAAGGTCATGCATAAACATCTGCTTGTAAGTAGAAGACCCAGCCTCCTTTAAGACATTCAACTGAGTCACTATATTTTCCCTTCCAGAAAGGGAATAATAAGGATCAGTATGTTAATACTGTACATTCACACACAATTTACATAAACTTACCTTTGCATATAAAAATACAAAATGATTGTCTACAGTTAAGATCAAACACTATGACATTGCAGTAATAAATTGATACAGAACACTGAATGCAGTGCAATGTGTAGCATTCAAATTCTTCTGACAAATATTTTCACAAGCAGCCTTGTTTGACACAAGCCACACAATTTCACATGGGGATGCCATTGTAGCATTTACAAGTTTAGTAAAGCTAAGGATTTACATAAACAATTAGAGGAGTTAGGGAAGCAGGATGGCATGTGTCCAGCACACTCTGTATGAGTGTCTGTTGTTGTTTTTCACTAAGGCAAAAGCTTAAGAACTAAGGGTTTGCAAAGCAGATTCAGCAGACAGTAGCCAGAAACGGTGGGTATTTTGGCGCATGCTTGGATCAGGTGACAGTACAGACTGAAAACTATGGCAGCTCACTGAAATGGTTACAGAAAGTAATGGCCCTGGATTCTAGGTGGAAGCAAAAAGGCAAGCATACATAGCACTCAATCACAAGCTTTTCTAGCAAATCCATCAACTAGTTTACAGCAAGGTTTATCTAAACTCCAAACAAGGAAGTCTGCAAAAATTACCCTGCTATTACATACTCTTTATTGGAAATCACAGACTGAATATTAACCTGCTTTCATTAATGTTTCAAAATTGGCATGATATTTATAACGAAATAGAAGCAAAGCATACTGTTTCAAGAGTTGAAGACTTGAGAAACAATGCTGCAAACAAGAACAGCTTTGTATAAAAATCGTGCCAACTCAAACCCCCTCCAGTTAAAATTTTCCCAAAATTATTTAACAGCTTCAGTAACTACAAACATTGCCTTTATTTGGTGCCCCAATTGTTTTTTTGGTTCATAAACCACCCATTTCTTTCATTCAAAGTATAGGATTGATTTCTTTCACCTGGATAACACTTAACACTGTAGATGTTTTTTATTCACAAGAAGCAACATCTTTCCAGTTATCTGTTAAGAGGCTGTCTTCAAGGCCTTTCAAGAATCAGCACTAGGCTAGGTCCCCTACAAATCTTTAAAGGTACACAAGAGTTACTGCATTAAAGTTGAATTCTAAAAAAGACATCCTGTGAAAAGCTCTTAAGTAGGAGCTGTATGGCTCATTTCAATGTATCATAATACTTCATATTGAAATTTAGTGAATATTTACATTTACAATGCAGCATTCCAAAATGACAAGGACAATCACACTGGGAGTTGTGTCAACCTACAAATGATACTTTGTCCTGGCACCTCAAAAAATAGCAAGGAAGACAGCAAATTTAAACTCTGAATCTTTCACTAGGTAAAGTCATAATCCACACTTTTCTGAGGCGGCCTCCATCTTAATAACCTCATAGTAGCAGAACAGGCACAGCTCTGCACTTTCATACTGCAAACAGAGTTTCCTTATCCTCCTATTCTCAACTCTTCTCTATTACAACCTATTAATCAGCTTATACTGGGGAGGGAGGAGAGGGGAAGTTGCTTGCTTTGTTTTCTGGGTGTGAGATTGGGTGTTTTGGGGGGCGGTCCTTTTCTTTTAAGAAATATCTTTGTCAGGTTTACAAGCACCTTCCCTGGAGTTTCACCTACAAGTCTAATTTGATGCTCTCTGGCTATCCCATAAATTAATGTATTTCCCACAACCCGTCTAAATGATTTAACAGTGCACAGAAAGTTTCTTGCCTGTGTATCCTAAAACATAAAAC